ATAGAGTACAGTTCCATTCCCTCTGCTGCTGCTAAGTTGGGAATTGCAGCCACAGCAACTGACAGCTTTTTTTTTCCCGCAAGTCTGGAGTTGCTCTCTGGGAGTGATGTCCTCATCGGGATGGGAAGTTAAATCACAGGAGAAAAGCTCACCCTGGCTCTGTGCTACAGAGGAACTACAGGGACCTCTTCTAGGGGAAACAGTTGCGTGAGGCGGGTGCTACTAATGAGAGGGAAAATCAGGAGAAGCAAGCTCCGGGAAGAAATACCAAAATCCTGTCGTTTTGAAGAAAATGAGCTTTTCAATTAGAGAGCACAGAAGAGGGAGCGCATTTATGCAAAAGAATTTCTGACAATGAACATGTTTTTAAAAGTGCTATAAAATTGTGTCATTTACTGATGGAAATATCTTTTCTTTCACAGTCACAGGGGCTGAACTCTTGGCGAGTCCCACTCTTTATATAGTGATAATACACTGTGTTTTGATATGTGAGAGTAAAACTGAAATAGGGAAACAGTAACTAAAATGAATGTGATTTCAAATTGCCCTTTTCAGGCCAGAGTTTTAACATGGGGAAAAAATTACATAGCAACTTTGGACTTAGTAGCCGATTACAGAACTTATGCGCAGATAGCGACTTATTTTGGTGCCTCTTTAGTTGTAAAAGTATATTTTGGAATATATTTAATTAACCAGGATTTACAGACTCCTCTTATTTGTGAACACCTTGGCTTTTCTGTCATCTGTCAGCACTGTGATGTGCACAGTAACTGAAAGGTTCTGAGGCACGAGCTATTTAGGTGGTTTTGATGTGCACTTGCTTTTCTAGAGGATGGTTAAACAAAACAGCGCTGCCATTTCTACATTTTCACTCAGTACTGCTTGCTTGAAACCTGCTTCTATTGCCCCTATAATTAAAGGATACAAGTAATACTCGAAAAGCCACAGCACTCTTGGTTATTTATACATATATATATCGTTTAATCACAGAAATATACATATGAGACCTAGCTGGTCATTCACTGTGCTCACTTTCTAAAGATGTTTCTGTTTTAAATAACCTTTTTACTACTAAGGTGCAAACTGCAGCTGTAAAGAACTGACTGCTAACCGTCCTCTGCTTGCTGCTCTACAAGGACTCTTCCTTCCAACAACAAAACTGTGTTATTCTACAGCTCCAATAAACAAAATACATGTGACTGATATCTGACTGATAGCTGTACTTTTCCTGAGCTTTGGTCCTCAGATAGCCTACTGGAGCTGAGAGAGAAAGAAAAGAAATACAAAATTGCAGCCAGAAAAGGTGTTAAGTTCAGATTCCTCTTTCCAGGGTTTAAAAAAGCAAACTAGCAATTCATGATCACAAAATAAAATATGCACATTTAAACAAGCTGCAGGGGAAAGGAGAGTTTAATCCAGTGAAATTGTGTTTGAAAGCTATTTCATACCCCTAGGAATAAAATCTGAATAGCAATTCTGCTTTGCTCCCACCCTTTTTCCATCCTTCTGTTAATATATTACCATTTGTTATGGAATCGTTACAAGACTTCCACCCCAGAGGTGGCTGCATTTCATTGAAGGATGAAGTACTTTCTGGGCCTAAGTCTCTTCTTACTCGCAGGAGCAGACAGTACTCACTGCAACTGCATTGATGCTGCTAGTAAAGCTATTTTTGATTTGCACCTGAGCAAGAGGAGAATTAGGCCCAGAGGTTGTAAAGCCCTTCTGCTGAAAGCTACAGCACAAATGGGTTGTTTATTGTAAACAGAAGCATGATACTAAAGCAGGCACTGATATAAAGAGCTGGAACTATCTGCTTCAAGAATTACCGAAATGGAAATGACGATCTCAAAAAGGAATGACGATTCAGAAAAGATTCGGCCCTGGAAAGATCAAAATGCATTCGACATAGTTTTGGTGTTGATGTGAAACAAAGTGTCTTTAAAAGTGTAATTTGAGATCAAAAATCCCCATCATGGAACATAAATAGTGCCCCATTTATCCAATTACACTACCTTGTTTCATTACAATGGTCGGTAATATATTTCTTAGGAATACACGGCTTAAAATTAATAATAGAAAAGGACAAAATTGCCATGTATATTTCTCTAGACAGATTTTCATCTAGCAGCAGGACTTCACTTCTGATTCACTCGCTGGTTCTGTCTAACCTTTACATTATTCATTAATCAAACTAGAAACCTGCTTTCAAAGTCAGTGCATGGTAGTAATTATTTACAGTTGTGCATAGTATTTAATTTTAAGCAATGACAAAAGCAGGCATGTCCAGAATCATAAGGCTTATCATTTTTCTTCTGTTAGAGGTGAACTATCTAAAGAAGCTAAAAGTTGCAAACTTCTCTTCAATATCTCTGCTGCCATCAAGACAGAATGCATTGCAACTGATATGTTTGAACTTGTTCAACTAAAAATAAATAAAAGTGAAAATTAAGTAATATATAATGTATTAACTCCTTTAAATAAAAGGAATAAGGAGCTTTGCTATCAGCTCTGATGAGCAACTCATTTCTTATTGTACAGTCTGTCTACTGTCACTTCGAGGTATCTTTCACTATAGAAAACAGAACCTCAGTACTATCCCTGAAAATGAAAGTCAGTTTTAAGAACTAGATACAACAGGCACGTCTACTATTTGAGACCACCCCACCCCCCCAACACACGAAAGCAACTTCAAAGCAGAACTATAGCAAATGTATAAATCTACTTCAGATCAGTTATGCTGGTTGAAACTGGACTGCATTTGCAGTTTTTTGCTCACCTGAAACAACATTGATCTGAGGACAAATATAATCAAAGAAATGCACCACTGAAGATCAATGCACATTTTATACTGAGAATTAGGGAGGGGGAATGTAATTGTGGCCATTCAAATTTCTCCCTCATCATTAAGATTCTCAAAAATACTGTGGCATTCTGGATAAAAACATATCTTACTGTCCTCTCAGCAGGGAAATCCCGGGAAACAACAGCATGGGCTTTGCTCGCAAAAATTTACTTACTCTGTAGTCTACGCCTCTAAAAAGAACAGGGTCCCCCTTGTACAAAAAGATACTACATGCATTGCACGTGAAAATTCTACTTTGAAAGCAAAATAAAATGCTCTTGACAGAGAGAAAAAAAGGAGCAATTCTAGCACTGTCACTGTGATGATCAGCATCCATGAAAAAAATTGCTATTTATCCTGCAAGTTGAGAATGTTAATGCCTTATTCAGCTATAACCTCTTTGTGAATAAAACAATAATAGCAACCCATCAGGGAATATATGTGTGTGCATATATATATATATATGCATTTCTAGCTCAACTATTATTTATGGTTCAAGGGGATCTTTGCTGCCAAGAATCATATGAGCAACCTGCATAGGTACATTCATTGGTCACGTCCCAAAAGGCACTGCCTGCACACCACTGTCCTACACCTACGTGAACACGGCAAAATAGGCAAGTTTATAAAAGTTACGCGTGTCCCAGATTCTCTGAAACATCATTTACCCCGAACAAATCCTGAGCACTACTTTTCAAAGTTTATTCAAGTATGCCACTAAAGTTGTCCATACATTTTGTCCCACACATAATACTCCACACCTAGAAAATATTCGGAAGGGGGAGGAAAAATTAGCAAACCGTTTTTAAACTGAAACCATAAAATATGAGTTTTCTCTAAAGAGCTAATCTGATGAAGAACACAAAGGGGAAAAAAAAAAAGGGGGGGGGGGGGAACCCGCCTACATTAAAAGCCAAACAAGATAATAATTGTGCATGTCTGGCTAAGAGAATCTAGAGGGCAAGCCTTACGTCATTGGCACTTGGGTTACCATGGTGAGTGATTTATTGATATATATCAAGAATGAATAGATCAAAGGCAGCAAGATGACAGGTGATCAATCAAATGTCAAATCAAAGCTGGCAATCAACTGGAAAGCTGATTTTTCAGTGGGTGGGTCTGGCAGAAGAAAAATGAACTTCCATATTGCGCTTCCCAGAAACAAAACCCCACCACACTATTAAAAAAAAAAAAAAAAAAAAGCAATTAAGCAGCCTGAAAGAAAACTCTTTGAAAAGATTTACTATGCAGGCCCACTCATCTTTTTCTTGGCCCCCAAAAGAAGAACTCCCTATAAACGACAAAACAAAACACTTACAAAGTTACAAACTATTTTGTTCTTTAAGAAGAAAAAAATAAAAGCTAAATTGCAAAACCACTTGGCATGTGCAAATATATCAACTCGGCTACAAAACAAAAGAAGGATTTGGTTTGAAAATGCGGATTGTCTTCTAGCAGTCAGAACGTTTCATTTTATTTCCTGTTGCAATTTTCACCACTGATGATCAAAGGCTGAACTTCCCCACCGGGTTCATCAGCAGAGACAGTCCCTGTACTATTTCAGGCAGACACAACGTTCACACACACACACAGACACACACACACACACACACGGCCAGCGCTGCCACCAGAAACACGGCGAAATAAAAGATTAACCGCACCGACCCACTTGGCGAAACACGCTTTTTAAAACCAAAAACCACCGGGAGGGGGGAATTAGAAACGGGGAAAAAAAACCAAACGACGGTAGGGACTGGAGCGGGAAGCAGATGGGAGGCTCGGGAAGGGAGAGGGGCCGGGGGGAAGGGGCGCCGAGTGGAAGAAAGTTGGGGGGAAAAGTTTGGCCGGGGCAGGAGGGGCTCGGGGCGGGAGGCACCGGAGGTACCGGAGGTACCAGCAGCACCGGGGCAGCGGAACGAGCGCTGCGGGAGCGGCGGGCGGCGGAGGGGCCAGCCCGTATCAGAGCAAAGCTCTTGGCAATCGGGACCGAAACTGGCTCCGCGGAGTTAGGAAGGGAAAGGGAGGGGGAGGGGGGATAAATAAATAAAGATCCAGCCCGGAAAAGCAAGGGTGACCCTAAATAATAATAAAGATGGGGGGAAGGATCGGAAGGAGCGGAGAGACAGAGGCTGTGCAGTGGATGGCTTCTCCTTACCTGCAGCCCGTTTGGGTGCTTGCTGTTTCCTCCTTGGCATCGCTCTACTTTCTCCAATCTCACTTCTGTCCCCAGATCCGAGAGCCCTGAGACGCTCCTGAGCCGTGTTCCTCTGCCTCAGCCGCTTCCCTCGGCACCCCCTCAAGCCTCCCCTGCCCCCCTCCTTCCCACTTCACTGATAGGAACCTGTTTGGTTTTTATTTTATTTTAGAGATCTAGGTTTCTTTCTTTCTCTCTCGCTTTTTTTTTTTTTTGGTTGGCTTTTTTCTTTTCTTTTTTTTTTTTTTTTTTAACTGTTGCAACACTTGCTTTGCTTTGATTCAAACATCCAAGCTCAGGAGCAAATGAAAGGCGCCCACAGTGCCAGAGGATGGCAATAAATAAATAACAAAATAGATACGTATATATTAAAAAAGGCAGCTCTGGAAAGACTGTGGGGCTGGCTGCTTCCTCCCTTTCCTCTCCTCTCCTCCTCCTCGCAGAGCTGTATGGCGGAGCGGTGCCCGGGTGTGTGTGTGTGTGTGTGCGTGTGCGCGGAGCGCTGCAGGTTCCGTGCTGTCAGATGCCAGGCGGTGAGTGATATGGGAGAGGACAGGGAGGCTTTGGATGGGAGGAAATCTGCTGTTCACACGCACACACACACTGCACAGGCACACACACGCACACACACACACACGCACACCCGCACACACACACATACACAGGCAGGGCGAGGCGATGCCAGCAAACATCGATCCACCGAGCAAACTGAACATTAACAAACTCCTCCTCCGCGACCCGGTGACAGGACGCGATCCGCTCCGCGCACCGCCACAAGCCGCGCCGTTAAAGAGACAGGGCCCGCGGAGTTCGGCTCCCGAGGGAGGCGCTGCCGGGAGCGCCGACGGCTGGGAGCTGGGGGGAGCCGCGACGGGGCGGCCCCGAGCGGGGTGATTTGGGGTGGGGGGGGGTCAGCGCCCCTCGCCCTGCGTCACTGCAGATTTAACAAGCGGATAACGGGGATCTACGGCGGGGCGGGCGGGTGGCGGGGACCGCGGAGGGTGCTCCCCCCGTGCGGCGGCACCACCGGCTGGCGAGCGCTGCTCCGGGACCGTGTGCCCGCGAGGAGCTGGAGCTGGGGAGCGGAGCGCTTTCCCCGCGGATCTTCCTCCTCCTCCTCGTCCTCCTTCTCCTCCTCACCCGAACGGGCACCCCGCGGTTAGGAGCGGCGTGGCTGGACGTACACGGGAAGTTGGGTGAAGTTCAGGTGAAGCGCAGGGCTGCAGTAGGGAGCGCCTGCACGCCAATGGCCCGGCAGAGCGGGGTCGGCCCGGCAGAGCGGGGTCAGCCCGACCGGGACAAGCCCCCGCAGCTCCCCGACTTTCCCCCGGCACCTGGATCAGGGGGAATCGGGAACTTCCATCGAGTGCTGCTGCACCCTCCTGGTAACCCAGAGCGAGGTCTCGTCCCACTACACCGGCTGTCTCGTCCTTCCAGAGAGGCCAACAAGCGGCCAGCCCAAAGAGGGAGACGGGACATGGGAACTCTGAGCAGCGTTGTTCCACAAGAGACAGGGAGATAACTTCCCTGCCCCATTTATTCATTTCGGTTTATTCCCCACGACTGCTGTTAACACCTTGAGGGTTTAAAAGCGATTTGGGGCTGAAAAGATGGATTAATTTCTATATATTCAACTACAGTTTGTGTAAGACCTCTTAAAAGTGGATGCTGCAATACTCCATAGCCCAGTCCCAGAGTTTGCTATGAAACCAAGTTCTTAGACACTTTTTCTGTTTTGGCATTTGTATCTTTCTAATGGAACTCTTGGGTTTAATAGGAATCATTTGCAATCCTCTAAAATCAGTGTTCAACCAGGCTCTGTTACAAAGTACCAGTGAGAGCTGCTGTGTTGTAGCCGGTGGCATTGGAGATTCGCAGTCGCCCTGCTCAGGCAGGGAATGAGTTTCCACGGGAAGACCCCTAAGTGACCTTTATATTTAGCAGTCTAATAGGAGATCGTGTTTATGAAAGTGTCCACCTAACTGATTTCACTTAAATTGTTTGATAGGTTTGCCTGTACGAACTCTAGCAATTTTTGCAAGCAATTTGAAAGTATTTATTGGTGCAAGCAAATGCTTAGTTTGAAAGATAAAATAGGATAACAGTACTATAAAATGCGCATTTTTCCACTTCTGCCTAGCATAACTCACTCAGAAGTGAACAGCTCTGCTTCAATCAGTCGGAATTGCACAGCTCTCTTCTACCTGCATGCAGCACGTGTAAAATGCAGTTGGTGCACACCAGGGGATTTCTGCTGTGTCCCCAGCTCAGGCAGGGTTAAATGTGGGGCCAAGAGAGGCAACGACATCCACAGCAGTGGGGCAGTTACCCCAGCACTGTGTGAGAAGGGTGACACATTGAGTGTGGCCCTGGCCCTGGATCAGGTAGTTCAGGGGCAGGATGGCAAACCAGGATTTTCTTTTCACATTTCATCTAGCAGTGATTTGTGATTTTGATCCCTTCAGTTTCTGTGTCCTGGTTCCCAAATCAAGCAAATGGAGACGCTTGTAGTTGGTTTTATATTCCCTCTCCTCCCTGGCAGTGCAGAAAGATACTGCACCTCTGATTATGATAGTTTATTTTGAAGGATTGGGTACTAAATGCTGGTTTAACACATGCTTCTTTTACTAACAATTCTCCCAAACCATTGTACAGTATTGTAATGTGCTGGAAAACTAGCAGGCATCAGGGGGGAGAAGGAGGAGGCAAGTGTCAGAGCCCCCTCAGATTTTAACCTTTCCATCTGGTATCTGCTACTCCTGTGCAAGTTGAAAAGATACAAGCTCTAGATGTAAGCGAAGCAGCAATTCAATGTAGTCTGGGATCAGCAAGTAGTGGCTATTGTTCTCCAGAGTCATGGCTTAAATCCAAATGCTACACACTGGGTATGGTATTTGTATCAGTGGCGTTTTCAGTCTCAACATGCAAGATGAGAAAGTCACTGTTTTAAATGGTTACTCCTTTGGGAAGGGGAAATTGAGAAGATGGACTTGTGAGTAGAGCACTAGTGAGATGGCACCCTATCCTCGGTGATAAATGGGAGTATTAACAAGGCTTGGTCGAGAGGAACCCTACAGATTTATGGCTTCCTGTCTCCACCAGCAGATGCCATTATGGCTGACAGAACAGAATGCCTTTCAAGAGGGAACTGGGGTGGGATTATGAAGAAGGGGAAAAAAAAGCAAGCAGAATCTGGTGTCCATTTTTATCCACTGGTCAGAATTTGCTGATAGGTTTGAATAGAGCTGAAACTACACAGCATTTGTGTGCTCCCTGCTTCTGTTATTTATAACTAAGTTGGTGAAGGTCATTTAGCATCTCTTCTAGCACAGGAAGAACCCATAATATTTACCGAAAGCATTTTTGCACAGTTGAAAATTAGAGATAATAAAATGAACAGATAGTACTGGAGGCTTCCTTGGCTTATCCAATGGAATAATCTTGATGGGTGCTTAATGTTTACTTTGGAAACGTAGCAAATGATTCTGAAGCTATATTGAATTTTATCTATTTTTATTGCATTGCAGAATAATATTTCTCTTTCCTGACAAAATGTTATGACCAGTAATAGCAATGGCAGTTATGCATGTTCAAAAAAGAGTAATCAAATCTTGTGCTTCAGGGCATGAGCTGAATTCCCCACTGGGATCCGGGAGGAATTTTCTCCCCCCCCCCCCATCTAGCAATATACAGTCAACCTGGTCTGCTCTTAGAGGTTTTTCAGTTTCTTGGTTAGGTGCAGATTACATGGAACAGGAGTGTGATCGGGGATAGTGAAAATCCTCTATTGTATAGCTTTGGAGTGGTTTGGGTCTGGTTTTTCAAAGTAACGTGTGTGATTCGGTATACATTAAAGTTCACAGATATTTTTGTGCACAATAAAGGGCTGAATATGCTTTGTGTACTTGACTTTGATAACAGTTCCCATCATGAGTAGTCACAGCAAACTCAGCTGTGTTACTTGAAGTGTCTCTTATCTTACTTTTGTTGTCTGTCTGTCTTTCTGTGGCTGCTATGCTGATAATTAAATGGGGTTGGGTTTTATTTTCTTTCCTTTTCTTCTTCTTCCCTTCCACTCCCTGAAGTTATAAACATGTAGGTATATAACTCATAAGGTGAGTTGATGACCCACCCCCCCCACACACACACACTTCACACTTTGCCTATCACTTTAGAGAAGGAAAAAGTAGAAATCCTGACAAGTGCTATAAAAAAAAAAAACAAGCAAAAAAGTTAGGAATTATTTGGGTTTGATAAATGAAAATGTTTCAATATGTAGTAATATTGCCAGCCAATGACATTGTCAGCTTCGGTGTTTACTTCTTATTCAAAATTACTGGCAAAAAATGATTAAAAATAATTGCGATTACAGTGGTTGTAAAAGAATCTTGACAGACAGAGTGAGGATTCCTTACAGAAAAGAGAGCAGCTGGTGAGTGGTCTGGTCAGTCCTCTCTCTGCCCAGTGGTACGATTAACTCTACTTGTTTCCCTTTTGAGGAACATTTGGCCAATGTGATACACATTCAATAGTTCTGGGCAATCTATTCTAGCAGCTTTACCATTAGAAATTTTCCCTACTCTTGAACACTTCATGACTTCATGGAAACCTGTTTCTTTTTATGGTGTTCTCAAATGAAATGGAGAACAGTTTCTTTCCCTCCCCTCCGCCCAGCAGCAATTTTTAATCTGTTTGAAGACTTATGACATCTACTCACCAAACACCCTCGATTTCTTCAGTCATTCCTTGTAGGTCATGTTTTCTGGACCTGGCACCATTTTCATTGTTCCGTGGCTGGACAACATATGTTTTGAAGTGCAGCGCCAAAACCCGGATGCTGTATTGCATTTGAAATCTTCCCAGCACCAAGTGGGATTACGTCACATGTACAACATATGACACTTGTTTATATGTCCCAGTTTGACATATGCCCTTTTTGCAGGAGCACAACATTATTGACTCACGTACAGCTTCTGGTTCACTGTAATGCCAGACTCTTTCTTGTAGAACTGCTTTGTAATCAGTTGTCCCCATCCTATATTTGAACAGCTGATTATGCGTCAGTGACAACTTCGCACTGATTCATCTTGAATTGCATCCTATTTTTTCAGACTTTCTGCATTTTGTCAGGATCATTGTGTGTTACAATGCTGTCTTCAAAGGCTGTTGCTGTTCCCTCTAGCTTGGAACCATCTGCAGATACCTTGCAAAATGTTTTCCACCTTCAAAGATATTAATAGAAGTATTGGATATTGCAAATCCCAGAACCCACTCCAGACGTTATTCCAGCCTGACAATGGGGCCATGAAGTTATAATTTTGGAGTCGGGTTTTCTGACCTTTTCCAGCCAGCTACAGTAATGTCATCTGAAGGACACCCCATAGCTCGCTCATGTGAGACTGATATGTGAGACAGTGGTAGAAGTTAACAGAAGTCAACATATATGACTTCTCTGTTCACAAGGTCTGTCACACTGTCATGGAATGTGATTAGGTAGGTTTGACATAATTTATCCTTAATAATTCCATGTTGCCTGTTACTCATCTCCGAAAGTCTTATTCTAGGTTCTTATGGATAGTTTTGTTTTGGTATTTTTCTATGAACAGAAACCAAGATGATGCAATGGTCCCTTCCCACTCTTCCATCTTAAAGATGTGTTTGCACTAGTCTGAGCCTTCTGGAAACCATTGGTCCTCCAGAAGTTTTCAGGGATGATCCCTGTAGTTCTGAAATTCTTCTAAGATGAGTTTAATGGCCTGACCTTATCTGTGTGTTTTCTGAGTGCTCTTGAAACTCTTTTTCCTACTGTAGCCAGAGCTCCCACCATCCTAATGCTGGTCTTGATTATTTTTTGCAATCTGATCACAGCTGATTCCTGTAGTGAAGATGAAAGTAAAAAAGGCTTTCTTAGGGTGATCTGTCAAAAGCTTTCTCTCTTTGCTGAGTGACAGATGTAATCTTTCCTAGGTCTTTTCCTGTGTAAAGAGGGCACTTACCAAACACTTTCTTCTTATTATGTTCCTCACTAGTTGTATCTCATTTTGTGACTTTATACTTTTCCCCTGTGTGTTCATGGGCATTAAAAGGAACTCTTTTTTTCACATTTTTCACGTTTAGACAAGTATTAATTTGTTCATAGAAGATATATTTCGATTTTTTTTTTTTTTCAAAGTATTCCTTGTCATGCAATACAAAGTCTTTTTCCCTACAAAGGGGTAGAACAGCAGCACTGGGGCAAAATCTGTTTCCTCCCTTTCAGGCATTTCT